CTCATAATACGCCTCCTAATCTAAGCTACATATAAAATGATTATAAATGGTGGCTAGTTTTGTATATACATATATAAATAATAGGTGGCTTTGGCAACTAAACAAGGACCTTATATGGACATTGTGAGGGAAGCACAGCTCAAAGTGGGCCTTCCCGGAGTGAAAACGGTGGATGCCAAAGGTTTGGAGGTTGGTTACGACTCTGTCCACCTCACCACTGCAGCTGAGGTTGAGCTTGGGAAGATGATGGCTGAAGCTTTCTTTCGTCCATCTCCGCCTCCTCTCCACCTTCAAACTATTAGCAACAGCAGCAGCAACAACAACAACACCAACACCAACGGCAACCACAACGACAGCGATAACCGCAGCAGCGCTGCCGTGTTGCTGACCATATCCCTACCACACCTTTCTTTCTGCTTTTCTCTTCTCATCACTTTGAGCCTTTTATTACAGTATCATTAGGTCGAGTAATGTTAATGATCAATTGATCAGGAATATCTTGCTCATAAAAAGGCTGCTAATGAGCATTACTTGGGTGATTTAACTTTCCTTCCCCTTTTTTGGTATATACTTCGTATGATGTACAAATTTCACTGCCAAAAAAGTTGTTTAGTGCCTTCTTTTTTCTCTCACGTTTTTAATTGAAATTATATCAGTCCCGAATCTGATTAAACTAGATCATATTAGACTTAAATAGGACATAACATAAAGTCCTACAAACAACAACCTAAAAATTGAAAAACAATTCACTATTCATCCACTACATTAGCATTACCGCATTAACAATTAAAATCTAAATTAAAAATTACCAAACTAAAAATAAATTATAATACCATAAAGAACACTTTCAATTTTTCATACACTTTGAAAATAGATCACATGAAATTATTCCACACTCACACTTCTTGTACATAAATCGTTCATGCATAATTACCAAAAAAAAATTAACTGGGTATATAAAGAAGATGATGAATAGAAAATATTCTGAATGCATAGAAAGATTGGTAAATTATTTAAAAAAAACTATGGGATGGGTTACACTCCATAGCTAACATACAAAAGTCAATAAATAAGGCATCATACTTAATTTTATTAACAAATCTAACAAAGAAATTTTAAAAATAAACTAAATATTGAAAAAATAATTAAATACAAAAGTCAATAAATAAGGAAGATTTGTGCACAAATTAATAAAAAAAAGAGCAAAACTAAATTTGTTCGGTTGATCGAATTTGGAGTCGCTAAGCGGTCGAGATTTGTAGTAGCATACTCACTTCATTGTTGTAGACTTGAGCATAAGAGTGGTGATATATTGTTCCCTGCCTTCTTGAGGAGTTGAGCAATAAAGGTTAATATTGGTGTAAAGGTGAGGGAATGACTAATTGGTATTCAGCTGACATGGAAAAATGTATGTTGATGAGTACAACTGACTATGCTTTTTTGTCTTGGCCTTGGGGATTTATTTATTTTTATAGGGGCTTGAGTCTGGGTTATCCGACCATCAACTAAACTCCGAGTTCCAAATCGAGTATTAACCAAATAAAAAGTGATGTTGTTATCCACTCTTATACCCACATATATACCCATCCATGTTTGTGAATTTCGTTCACAGACAATATTTTGTTTGTGCAAAATTTGCACATACAAAATAACACATATTTTGTCTGTGAACCGGATTCACAGACAAAAAAAACATTCACAAGCACGGGTGAGTATAAAGTGGGTATAAAGGTGTGTACCCTCCCGGGATAAAAAATGGTGTGTACATCAAACATTGTTGTAACCAAATACAGAGTATTTGATATTTTTCATAAATATTATAATTGACAACTCACCGAGAGCTGAATTTATCTATTAATTTGGTCTTCCGTTTTATCATTTTGCTCAATTATTTGCTCACCTCTAATGTTTTGTATTTGGTGTTGTATGTGTTCACAAACAGTTGGTTTTTATGGATTTGTTCTACATCAATTTAACGCGTGCTACACATATAATGTTTTGGTGGTCTAAATAATAAAGGGTTTCTATTCATTGTTTGTATAGACTGTTATTCTTTGTTAATGTGAATATATTCTCTATGTCCTATATCAGTTCATAGACACTTATTGTTTGTTCCTTTCCGTTTGTGTTATGTCACACAGAAGATTATTGTCGAGTTCAAAGACAAGGAGAGTGATATTTTTTACTCTGTTGATATATGATTTTTGTTGAACAAATATAAAATTTTATGTTGAGGCGTTTTGTGGGAAATGTTCTAGAAGTTGGTATGGAGCTTGATATATAAGGAGTTAAAAATAAAGGAAAGATGCATTAAATACAATATTTAGAGTCTGTTTGGTAACACTTAAATTAGTTGAATCTGCATGCTGAATCTGTTGAAACTTATGAATTTATAACTGATTTGGCTGAATCTATTAAATTGTGCAAAAATTGTACTTAAAATATATTTTATTAATAAAATTGAGGAAAATATACATAAAATAGCTAAATCGTCTTATAAGGTAGCTTCAGTCAATTCAGGCACAAACGTAACTTGATCCTTACTTAACTTGATTATTACACAATTCAGCGTGTGAAGTCAAAAACTATGTGTTTGATAACAACTTGACTGATAAGAGCATAAAACGGATAAGCTGAAAAAAGGATTACCAAATGAGACCTTATACTTGTCAGCTTTTGTCCAAAAGTAGATATAGCAAGTCAAAATATTATGCTATGCGAGAATAAGAGCACATTCAAATTATGCATGATACTCATAGCATCGTTAGCTATGAAATTGTACTTTTTATGGAATATACTATGATTTATTCACACATACTATCATAATCTTAGAGAATTGTGAATACAACATATAATATGATTTTATACATTAAAGATGAAAAGGTTGAGGAGATATTTATATTTTAAACCTTAACTTTAACCACGGGAGATGTAGTTTAAATCTGTCATTGTAATAATTGGTTATAGGCATTTTGAAATCCACTTAGAAGTGGTTGATGATAACTGTTGCCATACTCTATTGGGATCCGAATGGAAGGGTGATTTCCTGAAATTACTTAAACTACTTTACTCAATTTCTAAGAGATTTGAGGACTAGATCACTCTTAACTCCCGAAGAATTCTTCAAAAAAAAAAAAAAAAAACTCCCGAAGAATTCATCTTTGGATATTGCATATAGGGTTATCTAACTCATTCAATTCATTTAAAATTAATATTCCAAAATTTATCCCTTAGTATCAATTAAATATTAAACAAACATTCATACACACTTAAAAAAACATTTCAAACTCTAATCCACAAACAAGTATCCAGAAATATTTTGGTCTTCAAGTAGCATTGTTGCACTTATTTGTTTATTTTTATTGACTCAAAGTAAGGTCTCTATTTTTTGGGAAAAAATTGTGTATTAGTTTTTACTCGTTATAATCTCAACCAATTATGAAACATAGATGCAAATAGTTAATCTAGACAACAATGGTACTATACCTTCGCTACAACAAGCCTAAAACTAACTTGCTCCCTCAAGATCAGAACTGACACTTATTGTCCAACACTTCAAGCTAAGTGGTGGAGTATCTGGTCACGGGCCTCCTTGCTCACACACTCGAACTATACAAACAAAAGCCCAACAAGTAAGCAACCACCCCTAGGTGGGCAATCGACAAACATGGGTCACAACAACATAGAGAATGGACTACTACAAATTCGTCCCGATAATATTTTTTTCACTTATGCGACCTCTCGGCATGTGCCCCCTCGGCCTCATTCTAAGGACTCTCGGTATGTTACTCTTTAGCACTCGGCAGGTGCATTTAATGCATCGCACATACCCGATTATATCTTACATCAGAGCTTCCCGCCATAGACTACCCTACATGTGTCACGCATTTAATGCATTTAGCATTTATGACTAATATAAATAGCTCTCTTTAAAAAGATGTAACGGTTTGAAACTTCATGAAGACAATACACTCTTCTCTCTCTAACTTTCGAGTTTTGTCTTCTCTATTCATAGCGCTAGTATTTTGGCTTAGCAATCACTATGCTTCCAAGAAAATTTGAGTGGTTTTCTGAACTTACCCGCATAGAGCTAGATGGGCATCATGTGACAATATACCCCATGCCTTTTCCTTCAAGATTACTTGAACTCAAGACCTCCCACAAGAGAAGAATCTAAATGTGTGAGGTGGTCCAATTATTGAACCGTTCCCCCTCTTCATATATCGCTTGTCACTCTAATCTTCTCTCTAACGGAAGGATTACATGATGTTGTTGAGAACTAGAATTGAGTTTGTTTGGTTTTACACTCCAAAACTTATCATAAAGTTTACTCTAGATTCAAAATTAGTGTTGAGATGAATCAGCTCTAGTTAGTTTGAACATGGGCCAAAATGAGCAATTGATTTCTCAACTTTGTTTTTCTTTTAAATTAAGTTAAAAGTCTAACTTTTCGATTTATAAACATTCAAACTAGTTCGAAAATAGGAACCCGGAAGTATATAGGATTCTTACCTGATCTCGGTCAAAATTCTGTAACTTGGGATGCGAACTAAGTTGGCCAAAGTTAACTTGTATCCAACACTGATTTTCTTTCATTCACCATGGTGCATGCAGGCTCTTATATAATCTGTTCATTCATTTTGATATTTAACTTACAATAAGCTAGTAAGGAAGTGTATTTATTATTATTAGAAAAGGGTTAGTAATTACACAGTGTCATCATACATGATCACACTTATGTTCTTTTTTTTTTTAATGTTCAATGCACACATGGATAATCAATTAAAACGAGGGATTCGATTTAAGAAGCAAAGAATGTATGTAGATTAAGACATGCATCTTATTGTTTAATTTCCTTAAATGAAAAGTCCAAGTGAACTGTGTTATTTTGATCTGAAAAATCTTGGCAGTGCATGCACTATTTACATCCGATAAGTATATAATAGAGATTATTGTACTATTACAAATATTTACAACTATATTGTTACAATACTTATGCTTTCAGTTTGTTACATCTACAAGAAATCCCTCCTGGATTTGCAATCTGTACTCAGTTAGGAGTCAATCCACTAAGTAGGGAGTATACATACGAAGTATATTACAGCACGGTAAATATTTTTCCATTTTAACCTCTATTTTATGTCATGTGCCCAATATTATTAGACCACTACTTTTATTGATTTTCTGATCATGTCCAGTAATTAAAACGTTTGTATATATTTATACCTTTTGTACTAGATATATATACCATTGTGGCAAAGTTGAAAATTACTGTTGGGATAACTTTTTCCCGTCACATATAATACATTATTTGCAAATATGTAAAATTATAGGACTAAAGGATGATTTTCGTTGGACTGTAATTTTCTAGACCGGTCTGGTCTAATCTAAACTAGTTTGGTTTGGTTTGATCTGATAGATGTTCGTTATGTTTGTACTTTGAAATTGTCAAAATCTGGTCGGTCTAGTCTAATAATATATGATCTAATCTTGTTCGGTGTGATGCTAAAACCAGTCCAATCAAGACATCTAAATAATGAGCATAAGCACAAGATTATAACTCATTTGTAGTAGAAAACTCTAACATAAGTACAGTCACTTTTGATCATTTATGGTACACTACTATTGCAATCAGAAAGTCCGTTTTTTGCAACAAAAAAACTTTGATGATTGATTTACAAAAATGTTATCCCATTTTCATTCACTATTCCACTTTAATGCATTCTTTAATTTTTATACATTTAGAGTCATTCGGTCCTAAATCCGATGTTCCGTGCTAAATATCTACATACATTTCATGAGGACCATTTGTATTTGATTCAATCTCTTTAATATATTTCCAAACCAGGGGTGGAGACAGGGAGGGGTTAGAGGGGGCCTCGGCCCCTGCATGGAAAAAAATTCTTAATTATATATTATGTATAAATACATTTAATCTATAGAAAATATGTTGATATTTTAAACTTTGACCCCTACAAAGTAAAATTTTCAAGAACCGGCCCCTTTAACTATAGACTTCTGGCTCCGCCACTCTTCCAAACTATATTGAGTTTGAATAAATAGGGGATATGAATTATAGGATTGAAGATGGAAATGAACGGGAAGACAAACACATGGGCAATGAAAAACGGGAGCGGGCTGGCAATCTTGACAATATTGCTACTCCTATTGTACTTCTGGCGGACAATCCTTCCCAGCAGAGAGATGATCCTTCTGGAAGCAAACAAACGGCGGCGCGTGAATCACATCATAGTGCTGGCCGGGCAGAGCAACATGGCCGGCCGGGGAGGAGTGGTGCCCAAGATGATCGGAAACGAGAGCATAAGAGTATGGGACGGCACCGTCCCGCCGGAGAGTGGCCGGAATCCGAACGTCTACCGGTTCAACGAGAAATTCCAGTGGGAGATAGCGCAAGAACCGATACACGCCGGGATTGGGTGCACAATAACATGCGGGGTCGGGATCGGAATGGCGTTCGCGAATAAGCTGCTGGCGTTGGACCCGGGGTTCGGGACGGTCGGCCTGGTCCCCTGCGCCGCCGGCGGGACGTCGTTGAAGAACTGGACGAGCGACACGGATTACCCTTACCGGAGTTTGCTGGGGAGGACGAGAGCGTCGCTGAAGACGGGTGGGGTCCTCAGGGCGGTGCTGTGGTACCAAGGCGAGAGTGACTGTAAGTACTATGTTTTCGCTAAGAGTTATAGACAGAATATCCGCCGGTTGATTTCCAGGTTGCGCACTGATTTGCAATCCCCCATGCTTCCCTGGTTCGAGGTATCTTAAACTCTCGTAAATGAAGGATTATTATATTTTAATACTATTATACTCTTATTGGCTAAATAGAAATTATTATTACGATTTTTAAATTCAGCACTTTCTTAAATAGAAGCAATTAGTATATTTTTTTATATTACTATACCGGTCTTTAAACATGATACGGAGTATTATATTTCAAGGTTAACAATTACTCCATTCGTCCCATAAAATAGTTTTCGCATTGACTTGGATCGGAGTTTAAGAAAGTGTGAATAAAGAGGAAATATATAATTGTGATTGAGTAAAAAAAGTAAATGAATGTGAATCACACAATTTTTTTCAAAAAGGAAAATAAGAACTGTTTTGCAGGACAGAGGGAGTATTACTCTTAATTGGGAAATAAAAACATATCAGTCTTATTTTAAAATTTTAAAAACTTTCACTTGTATTTCGTGAATTTCACCAAAATTTTTGTAGTCTTGCCATCTCAAACGTTGAAAAGGAGCACTAGAAAATTCACTAAATAGGTCTCAGTAAACCATTCTAAAATTTCTCGAATAGGAGTTGGCGCTATTAGAACAAAATATATTTTAAGAAGAAAACATAGGATAACCTATTTTAAAATTTTGCTTATATTTTGATCCTATTTTGAGCTATGTCTAGAAAAGTGGTGATTTAGTGGGATGGATACGTTAAATTCGTGTCAAGGCCATTCTGTCATGCTATTTAGCATGGAACTGTCAATCTATTTGCGCCAAATCTATGTCAATCCCATTATTTTTTTGTGATGACAAAGGATAATAAAGTCAACCATCTTATTCTTTCATGGATAGAGTAAAATGTTACTACATGCATTATAAATTGATTGAAAACATATACTCCGTAATAGGTAATCATACCGACGCCAAAGCCACCATTTGAAGGACCATTCATAGAAGATGTGAGGAAAGCTCAACAGGAACTGGACTTGCCAAATGTGATAAAGGTGGATGCCGATGGACTGCCAATTGGGCCGGACGGGATTCATCTCACCACCGAGAGCTACGTCCGGTTGGGCCATATGCTGGCCCATGCCGTTCTAAAGAACAAATCATTGTTACTATCATACAATACTAACAACACGAGACTTTCAAACAACACTACTTTACGTGTTCCTACTTAATTATTTTGCTGTCACATATCCTTCCACGAGTTTTGCGGCATACACAATTTGTCTTTTAATTTTTAAATCCAAATTTCTGTATATTGCCTGCTTGGAAAATATTTGGAATGCTACTCTTGTTCCAAGGCGTTAATAGTTTTAGTTGCAATTTTTGTGTTTCAATTTTGGTTCTCTATAGCTATCAATGTTCTTTCGTAATTGTTTTTTAGCCATTAGCTAATTATATACTACGTATGTTAGTGATTCGTCAATTATAGGTTATAATAATGTGATGTAAACTATACGTAGTAGTTTGGAAAAAATTATTATATTCAACTTGATCTTAGTGTGAGAAAATACATTTAAAAGGTAGGATTGATTCACCTAATTAACAATCAACATTATTGATATTCATTCAAAACACTCCATCACCAAAATACTCTTTTTTCTCATACTCTACATATAGTTTACGTCACATATAGTTTATACCAAATGATATTCTTAACAACTATTATACATAAAATAGTACACAGTACACTTTATGAAAATAGTACTTACTAGTAATACATAAAAGGAAAATTTGCGCAATCCATTACAGAGAATCCATGTCCTGTCTCTAATCAATCCGTTTTCCCATCAATTTTTTTTTTATTTTTTTGAATTGTTGAATTCGTTTTTGGTTCCACAAATTGCTTCCTTAGCGGAATCAACTTTTTCAGCCAATTTAGTAGCTGCATCAGTCATGGCACCGCCTACTCCAGAGTTCTCATCGGTGCGATAAAGATGTGTCACTTCCACCTTCCCTTCCCGAGGCGCCTCCTCTCGCCCGGGAGGTGACTCGTACTTTGTGCTCTCCACCTTTGTCTCCACGGCACCTTCTTCATTTATGTACTCCCTTTCCTAATTAAGCAAAATCAATTATGTATTCAATACATGTTTTAAATTTGCAAAACAACATTAACTGTAACTAATCAAATAGGACGAAAACATAGAATATGTGTACAAATAAAAGTACATAGGTATTATTCTCAAAACATGATTTGTTTACTCTCAAAATTACGGATGACTGAATCTTATTTTACGAATAAGATAATTAGTACACTTGGAAGCAAAGCATGACAATACAACCTATGACGATAAATTAAAGCATTATTACTTGAAAATACAAATAATCTTACGGAAAACAACAATAATAATAATAATGCGTCAAAGGTACTATAAATTTCAATATAAAATTATAAATTATCCTTAATTATACGGAATACCTTGGAAGCATTCATAATTCAGTGCTAATTCTAATTTAAAGCTGCACGCTCGTTATCTTCTCGATACGGCCAAAGAGAAGGAATAAGCTAAGAGGCACTTGTTAGGAAGCATTAAACATGCAACTGCTGAATATTTATTTATCATTTATATTTATAGCTATATATACAAGAATTTTTTCTTTAACAAAAAAAATATGTATGCGGTGGCTTTTTAGCAGTTGGCCACGAATTAAGGTGGTACTCTCCTACTGCCACGTCCGTTGCACATCTAAATTATCGTCTCAGTTGGTAAAATCGTAACCCTCTTGGTAACCCTCTTGATTTAGTATTTTCCATAAATGGTCAAGTTTATCTAGGATCCATAAAAAACTTCATTTATCATTGCAGTGTTCTAAAATTATTATTCTTTTTGCAAAGTTTTGTGAGACTATCATTCACTTATCTTTTTATTATTCAAACTACAACAACATATTCTCAATGTTTTTAATTCAGACACAAGTCATTTTCAGAAAAAGGGTCATTTCTAGACAACCAAAATTATTTTTTAAAAGGTGAAAGATTTTAAAACCAAACCATAATAAAATCCCAATCATCCAGTCAAAGCAGAAATAATTATTCCGATCTCGAACCAAAATTCTTCTGATACAGTTTGGTGATTCTGATTCGGAGCCTAACTCATTTCGGCCCAGTCTTGAACTTGGGCTCAGCCCTTTGCCCATAGGGCCAGCTATGAGTAAACAGAATAATGAAAATATCCGTAATAGGTAATTGGGGCATTGCTTTAGACGTCTAGTATAGAATTACAATTACATTACGAGCCCGTTTGGTAGCACGAAAATCGGCTGTTTTGGCTGATTCTGCTGAAATTTATGAAATTCTGGCTGAAGTGGCTGTTTTAGCTGATTCTGCTGATTCAAGAAAAAATTATTTTAAATATATATTTTATTAATAAATTATAGAAAAAATTACATGTAAAAATAGCTAAAATAGTCCTCTACAGTAATTTCAGCCAATACAGCCAGAAAAGTAACTTCAACCTTACTTTTTCTGCTTATTACACAATTCAGCACACAAAAGTAAAAGTTACGTGTTTGGTGAAAAAGCTGGCTGATAAGCCTGATAAGCCAAAAAAAGAGGCCTCCAAACGGGCTCTACAATTGCAGTAAAACAGTTCAACGAAAAGAGGCGTTAACCTCCTTCATCCTAAAACAGACCTCCGAAAAAGAAAAAGGAAAAAAAACGGAAAATACAGAGAAAACGGCAATGATGAATGTCGGTGGCGGAACCGCCAACGACGATGGAGCCTCCGCCGTGTCGCGATGGAGCTTTACCCTCTGGAGGCAGTACCAACACATGCTAGACAAGTCGACGCCGCTAGTGCTCCGCCGCTGGATCATCTTTTCTATTGTGGTGCTCATATATGCTTTGCGGGTGTACCTAGTCCAAGGATTCTACATCATCACCTACGCACTCGGTATCTACATCATCCAACTCCTCCTCGCCTTCCTTTCCCCGCAGGTTGATCCCGAGATCCACGAGCTTTCCGAAGGTCCTACCCTCCCCACCCGGGGCTCCGACGAGTTTCGCCCTTTTGTTCGACGCCTCCCTGAATTCAAGTTCTGGTACGTGTATTTTCATCCTTACGCTTGTCTAATTTATTGCTTGTGAATAGCAAATCAACCAAATTTTGTTTTTCCATCGATTACCCCGGATTTATTTACAAGTATATCTTGAATGGAGAAGCTTAGTGTATGTGACCCGATCTGGGCGGTATAAGATTGCTGAATTTAAAATATTGTGGTAACTGATGATTGAATAACTCAAAGCTATGGATTTGCATCATCATAGGGACCTTAATCCCAACCATTTTGGGTTCGTTCTCTCAGATTTGCGTTCTTAATTAATTGTCTGATAAAAGTATATAACACTATAAAGTTTAAATTCATTCATAAAATTGTAGCTGTAAAGTTTTATAGTGGGTGCCCGCCTAATTTAGGAATAAACAGACAAGCGTTTGTATGTGGTAGAAATATCATTTGGGTTGTCTTACAAAGGTTATATGGAGTTATATTGTAAACTGTTATATGGAATTTAGGATTAAACACATGGATTGTTTATTTCCTTGACGAGATAGGTGTTGTGACTTGTAATTATGCCAATTTGCCACAAGGGTCATAGGAATAATATACTATAATATCGTATGGTTTGTAGAAGTCTGGTATGGTCGGTTTAAGTGGTGGTCTAGTTTGATTATGTATGGTCTAATATGGTTAGTGGTTAGTGACATAAGTGAGTCCAATAGAATAATCTTAAAATACAACAACCATTCAGCTTGTACTAAGAAATGGTGACTGTGATGCTTTGATTTCTGAAGGACAAAGCACAATGGTCTCATTTTGTCTGTGTTGTTAGATTGTTACCCTATCTCCCACTAACCTCTAATACGAGTAAAGGATGATTGAAGTCATCCTTGTATTCACAATATTTACATTAATCATACAAAACCAATTAATTGTTTTAATGATTTGATATGTGCTCAGTGCTCGATTTTAGTTTGAGTGAATATCTTCACCGGTAGTGTTCGAAAATGTATCATTCTTCTAAAAATGGGGGAGGGAAATTTGATGGTTTTATTTTCTACTTGGTAATGACAGGCATTCACTCACAAAGGCATTCTGCATTGCTTTTGTGTTGACATTCTTCAGTGCTTTTGATGTGCCAGTTTTTTGGCCAATTCTATTGTTCTATTGGATTGTGCTCTTTATCACGACGATGAAGAGGCAGATAATGCACATGGTGAAATACAAATATGTCCCCTTCACATTTGGAAAGCAGGTATTCGCACTTTTGACTCAGGATCAAGTAATGACCTTAGAACATACGTAGTATTTGGTAATGCTTTAAGTGGCAAAGTTGTGGCTCAAACAGTTAAAATAAGAAGATTAAAATCTATCATATTAAGAAAATGAATTTATATATGAAAATTTGAAAAGAATTGCTAAATTGGTCATTTCAGCAACTTCAGCTTTAAAGAAGTACCTTTAGACATACATCTCATTGTTAACCATTTGGCATGCCATCAATTAAATCAGTATTCAGTAAAAAAAAAAGGAAAAATTGATAGTAATAATCCCAACTATTGGCGGTCCGCTCATAATAATCCCAACTTTAGGGACCTTCCGCCAATAATGATCCCTATGTATAAATTCTTGTAGTTTCTAAAGTGGATGAGATGGGATATAACAAGTAATCCCTATAAAAACTAAAGTGGACAGTCTATATAGTTGGGATTATACAAAAATAATCAATAGTTGGGATTATTTTCAGCGGACCGTCAATAGTTGGGATTATTATTTTCAATTTTTCCAAAAAAAAAAACTAACGAGTCTAATAAGTTGAAAAAAGGGCTGCTAAATGACCACTAAGGATATGTTGCTGTTTTGTCCAGCGTTACACAGGGAAGAAAGCAGCAGCCTCATCTGCGGATGCAGTTTTGGTAGACTGAACCATATAGTATGGTAGATTCTGATTTTCATTGAGAAGCAGACAGAATTAGATTATCTGGTCAAGTATTTGTTTTCCCTAGGAAAATAGCCACATGAGATGTACTCAATCTCTGGTTTAAAAACATGAGCCACTTGATCCTTTGTAACTGCATAGTTATAATATATCTCCTTTTTCTAATTCTCAATGGATGGCAGGATGGGTAGTTAGTATTGGTGTTACAACATCAAAGCTGCTCAACTCTCTTTATTTTGTCATGTTTGATTGATTGATTTCATATTGCTCTGCCTTGTTGTTTACAGCACTCGTTGTTGTATGCTCCTAGCAGTGTGTGAATTTATTATAGCGAGCAGCATTCTATTCATATTATGTACGGAGTATTATACTCTTTGATTTTTGGACAAGGTATTCTGCCTTCAAGGGTCTGCATTTGAACAAGGGATGATAGGTCAATGGTTTGGATAACCTTTAAGTGTGATTATATAATGGATGGAAAAAAGTATTTCATTAATCAATCTATGATCCAGTAAAAGTCTAATTCATCCCGTAATAATCTTCCATACTTGGATATCCAGATTTACTACATCAGTAACGGATTTGAGGAGTCTAGATGTTTTTTCAAATGTATTTCATTGACTTGAAAGAAGAGATATAAGAGCATCTTTTAGTGGCAATGTGAATTGGTTAAAATGCATTGCCACACACAAAATAGACATTGAGATAAAAAATACTCTCTCCAATGTGAATGTCTATTTTGGTGATGATGCTGAGCTGGATGTGTAAAAAGTAGACATCGTGCGGTACACCTACTTTCAGAAGGCCTATTAAACAATACTAGTATGACTCAGCAAAAACTCCGTATAATTTTCTATGGAAACTGATATCTAGCAGTAATTGAGGCTGAATCGCATTCTGTAATAATTAGGCTTAAAAATTATCATTGCACTATTCTTATGTCTCGTATAAATAATTAAAATAAATCATTTACACCCACTTCCTCCACTTTCATATATACTTCGTATAAAGTATAAACATGGTAGTAGCGTATATGCATATGTTTATTTATGTGTGTTATATATGCAATTTTTCCAAGAGCAGATCTGCAATTATTGTGTGGTACAAATAAAATCATATACGTAGTTTTTGGTTTTTGAAGAAAGCTAGAAGAAGAGTTGCAGCAGTTTTGGCGTACGAATAAAATCGTGCACCCCGTATATCAGAAATTTTAATAAGCACGTAACGTGCTCATTAGAGAGCACGTAGGCCCAATATTACGGAAGTTTAAAGCATAAATGTGGAGTAATCTACCGAGTACGGAGTAGGATAAAAAAAAGTCTACTGAGTAATAATTTTTCTAAATGTATCTCCGAACTAAAAAAAATCTACCGAGTAATAATTTTTCACACCATGTCCTTCTGGCTAATCTATTTATGTAAATATTAGAACAAATTATTTTAGTCCATTAACAATTGATCGAAGCATTTTAAAATACTTCATCTCTAGTAATCTCCAATAAAGTATTGTGAGTAACTTACAAAATCCACCCTTACCATAATTATTGTTAGGGAAAATTGCACCATCAAACCCTCAAATTTTACACATATTGAAATGTAGTCCCCGTATTTGTGAGAATTCAAATATCACCCGTCAATCAGAGTTATTGTAAATGTTCCGCTTTTATAAACGGATAAAATAATATTCCCTTCGTCCCTTAAAGGTTTATCAAGTTAGACCGACATGCAGAATAATAAAGTAAAAATTGTGTGGTAGATATGGTAAATATTTGTGCAGATGAGAGAAAAATAACAAGAGCCACAAATTGATTGATTAAAAGGGAAAGTGTTTTGGAACAATCAAAAAAAGAAAGTTGAGAAAGTTATAAGAGATGGAGCGAGTAATGTTTTAAAAAAACGACATCGATACCTTTCATCTCTAAAGTTACACTACGCATAAAAAATTGTTGATCGTACTTTTTTATAGGTAATAAATGTTTGACATAAATAAATATGTTTTCGAAATGACCAAAAAAACATACCAGACCAATATCATTTTTTGACACATTGTAAAAAAATCAACCAGATTTTTTCTGGGTAAAAGTAGGACACATACAATAAATGTCAATAAGAAAAATCCAATTTTACAGACTAAATGTATGGCACATATAAAAATGCTTTCAAACAAGTGTTTTGATAGTTTTTGTATAAATTTTAAAATGCACTAACCATTTTTACCTATATATTGTTAGGCATAGGATAAAAAGTTTAAGAGCCCGTTTGGTGCATGAAAATCGGTTGATTTGGCTTATTCTACTAGAATTTTTGAAATTCTGGCTGAAGTGAATGTATTGGCTGATTTTATTAGTAAAATGAAGAAAAAATTACACGTAAAAATAGCTAAAATTGTCATCCACATTAACGTCAACCTTATTTTTTCTGCTTATTACACAATTCCGCACGCGAAAACAAAAGTTACGTGTTTGGTGAAAAAGCTGGTTGATAAGCCGATAAACAGTGTTGTCAAACGGTCTCTAAGTCAAAAAAAATCAATTCTATGGACAATAAAATTAGACACACACACAAATTGGGAGTGCCAAAGTATGTAGTTTTATACATACTTTCAAATCTTATTGTTTGTACCAATAAATATCTAACACTAGTTGTTTATACATACTTTCAAATCATATTGTTTGTACAATAAATATCTAACACTAGCTGGTAAAAAAAGGTTAAGATAATGCTAGACATTTACTCTCTGTATAATGTAACAAAAAGTTTTCTAGGCCTAATTTGTTTGACCTTTTTGTAAACATTTCTATCTATGTCGGACATTTAGTCTATAAAATAAATTTTTTGATATACAATTTTTATCTATAGTATAAGTTTAGAGATGAAAGTGAAATTTTTTTATGAGTACTTTTTCGATACAATATTATGTTTATCCGTGTTTAAGTTATAACCTTAACTATGTCAAAATTTATAAAAGTTAACAGTGTTGGTCTATATTTGAAGGACATGACCACATTTACAACAACTCTCACTATTGAGGGATGACAATTAAAAACTCAAAAATACCGGATTACTTTTTAATATAAGTAAAATTTGAGAGATTGAAAGTGTAATTTTATATAACCATAATCATGGTAAGGGTGGAATTTGTAAGTCACTCACAGTACTTTATTAGAGATGATTAGAGATGAAGTATATAAAATAATTTATTCTACACCCTAATAATATTTATATGAAAAGATTAGCAAGATTTATATGAAAAGATTAGCAAGAAGGCCACATGGCGTGAAAATATTAGATCTAAATTTTAGTTGGTAGATTCATGAAGGAAAGTTTTCAAAAAAAAAAGATACATGAAGGAAAATTATCTCCGTACAATTTTTTTATCCTTCTCCGTAAATTACCCCACTTATTATGCTTTAAGCTTCCATAAATAGGCCTACGTGCTCTCTTATGAGCACGTCACGTGCTTATTAAAATTTCCGCCCCGTATATATCGCAGATTATACTATACATCCGGGTGTATGTACACCCGGTTTTTAAATGACGTGGCAGCCATTTGTCTTTTCTTTCTCTTCTTCAGCCGTTCTCTTTTCTTTCTTTTCTTCCTGTGTTCTCTTTCCTTTCTTTTCTTCCCCCATCCTCTTTCCTTTCTTTTCTTCCGCCATCCTCTTTCCTTTCGTTTCTATTTTCTGCCGCCATCCATTTTGATTGTTACGTTTTAGGGTTGTTTTTTACTTTTTTGTTTCTTTTCGTATCTTTTGTTGTTTAGTTCTTCTTTTTTATACATTATACTAAGCAAATTAGAAATGAGTTTTACCTTAAACTCAAATGAGTAAAACGTCTAAAAATGAACATACATAAATGAGCTTTTGAATTTTTGAATACTCATTTTGTAAATGTTGTATACTCATTTAGTATATCTGTTGTGCTCATTTTTAAAATGTTTTAGCAATGCTCATTTCAAAAGTCTCATATTACATTATTAGATTTATATAAGAGTTGATTATAGACACGAGACCACAAATCATGATACTCAATCGCAGATTCTAATACTCAATAACGGGGGTTTGATGCTCATTGAAAATGTCTTGATGCTCAACGAATAAAACTTATATTTTCCATATCAATGCTCATCTTGTAAGTTACATATGCTCATTTGTATAGGTCTGATGCTCATTAAAAATTCATTAATGCTCATTTAATACAAATCATTATTTTCATCTCAATATAGGAGGTTTGATGCTCAATGAAAATATAGTGATGTCCAATTAACACGATTTTTTATCAATGCGCATTGTGTAGCTACACATGTTCATTTGGTACTAATTTTATGTTCAGATGTAAAATGGCATATCAATGCGAGTGTAAAATGTTCAACGAAAAATTTACAATGTTCATATCGATGCTCATCTTGTAAGTTACGCATGCTCATTTGTATAGGTCGAATCCTCATTAAGAAGTCATTAATGCTCATTTTACAGAAATTGTGATTATCATCAATCTCAATAGAGGATGTTTGATACTCAATGAAAATGTCGTGATGTTCAAATAACAAAGCAGCTAACAAATTCATTAATACTCATTTTGTAAGTTACGTATGCTCATCTGGTAGAGATTTTATGCTCATTTTCTAAATGTCATATCGATGCATTTTTTAAAGTACTATTTTACATTAATTCACATATTGAAATTCACAGGAGTTGATTATAAATATAATTTAATAAAATTTTATAAAAGAAAAAATAACAAAAAGAAAGTGAATTAGAAGTTATGAAGCGGAGATCAAAATTCTCAATATTAGACTCCTAATACTCAACAGAATGGGTATGATGCTCATTAAACGTTTATTATTGCTCATTCACTAGAAACCGTGAATTTCATCTCAATAGCGGATGTTTGATGCTCAAATATTAAATGTGAATATATAAAACGTGAAATGAGTATCAAAAAGTTCAAAATGAGCATTACGCCAATATGCATGGATATGACATTTAAGTTGTCTCGTGTAATGCTCATTTTAAAATGAGCATTACACCAATATCAAATGAGCATATCTAATTTACGAAATGAGCATAGAAAAAATTTAAAAGCTCATTTAAAATCTCGAGTATGCTTAAATATCAATTTGTATATTCAGTATGCTCAACAGAATAGGTCTGGTGCTCATTAAAAGTTCATTATTACCCAATCTCTAGAAGTCGTGATTTTCATCTCACTAACACCATATAAAAAAATTATAAACATGTTTATAAAGTAATAGTATGATTCATAGATCAAATAAATACTTCAAAAATATGAATTAGTCTTTTAATATAGTAATAATAAGCAAAAGCAAAAGAATAGTTAATATTATAATTACTATTAATAATACGCAGTATGAAACTATATAGGATAAGTAAAATAAATGAACTGATAATCTCAACAAGACAAGTCAGCGAGATGGTTGGAAGGCCGCTTATTCTACTTCATGTCACGGGATCGAATCCCGTTGGGGTTTTAATTTTTTTAGTGAAGGAATTCAGTTCCTTGTGGCCGCGATTCGCTGGGAGCCCACCAGTCAAATTTAATAATTTGGCTGGATGTACGTACACCCGGGTGTACGATATAGGGACTCCGTATATATCTGTTTTTTTTAAGAAAGCTAGAAGAAGAGTGTCACTACATAACAACATGCGGTTGTTTTTTAGTCGTGTACTTTGCGTATGAATAGGAAACTAACTCTTAAACTCGCATTCCCATTGTAGCACAAAGATATTATTTTAAACGTGTGTGTCCATATCAGCTTCACAGGCTCTCTATACATGTGTCCATTTTTAATGGGATACAATCCACTTCCACATTAAAGATGCTCTAATCATTCATCCTTGCTAGCAGTTAGTGTTGGTTGGGATTTTCAAGCATGTTTCACGAAGAGAAGATGTTCTTATGATGGGATTTTTCAGAAATTGCCGAGTTAGAATATTCAATAAATATGAGTAATTACTGTCATGTAGAAAAGTACTTTTAATTATGACATTAATATGTTTGATAATAATTTACTCACATTTAGGGAGAATATTATTTAGGGAGATCCCATTGTTCTTATTCTACTCTTTTGGAAAATTTCCTTTTTTTTTTCTATAACTAGGCTAACACCCTTTATTGCACGGTAAATCAAACCCCAGGATAAACAAACTCGCCTGTTAAAAGCAAGTTACCAAGTCTTGCATATTTCGAATATGCCTTGCAATTGCCCAAATCAAACAATCTTACTCGGTTAATTCTATATCTAATTTGGTACTACTTATATACAGAGTAAATTTTATTGTGGAAAAGGGAGAATGACCAGTTTTTGTGTCAACGATCTCTCTATGTGCTAGTCTTCAAATAAAAACTAGCCACTTGTTTGGATGATTGTATCTAGAGGTGAACATTAAAAAGTGAATATAAAAAAGTTGAATCGAAAAAAATTCAAATAATGACATTTTTCGGTATTAGTTTTTATCAAACAACAATGAACCGGGGTTCACAGACAAAAAAAAAACTTTCACAAACATAAGTGGGTATAAGGCTTTGTTTGCAAACAATTAATTTAAGTGCTTTTGGCTTTTTTTAAGAAAAAAGCACTTATTTTAACAAACAATACCAACTTTTACTTTCTCGGTTTTCGTGTAGAATCTACTTTTTATTTTTTCTATTACACAAAAAGCACTTATTTTACCAAACACTACCAACTTTTACTACTAATCACTTTTTCCCAAAAAGGGCTTTTATTTACGCACAATCACTTGCAAACAGAGCCTAAAAGTGGATACAAAGATCATTTTTGTTTCTCAAATTGGCGGCACAGTTAAGCCACTAATAGAAATAGATGTTTCACATATCTCTAATTTGGTGGTCAGTTACCAAAAGCATATACTCGCTCCGTCCCATTTATATTGTCCCGGAAGAGGGTGACACAGTTATTAAGAAAAGTAAGTTTGTGTGGTTGATATTAATTGATAAAGTAAGAATAAAGTAAGAATGATTTAGAGCCACACAAACTTTGCCAAATATGGTATGGGACAATATAAGTAGGACTTCCTGAAAAGGTAAAATGGGACAAAATAAATGGGACGGAGGGAGTATGCTCCATCAATAATATAATTTAATAATTTAAAATTTTGTGTTCAATCAAAATTGTAATTATGTGTAGATAGTATTATTTGATAAAACATTAGTGTAAAGTGTTTTCAACGGCCGCCTACTTCCAGTGTAATAGTGGTGGACCGGTTCGGGCCTTGAACCGGCCGGGCCTCGGTTCAAGGTAGGGGAGGCCCGGAACCGGTCCGGGTAACCCCGGGTCCGGTTCGGGCCGGGCCCAGTTCCGGGTCTATATAATTTTTTATTTTGGGTTTTCCTAATCAACCCCCTACCCTCCCCCTCAACCCCAAACCACCCCAAACCACCTCAAATGGCCCAAAATAACCAATCCAACCCAAAAACTTAAAAAAATTCAAGAAAAAAAAAATTTAAATCCGGTCCGGACTGGGCCCTAACCGGCCGGTTCACCAAAATGAAGGCCCGGAACCGGTAGCCACCGGGCTGGGTCGACCCGAACCGCCCATGGGCCGGGCCACCGGGTCGGGCCGCCCGGGCCGGTTCCGGGTCAGGCCGCCCGGCCCGGGTCCATCCCTAAGTGTAATTAGATGGCATTTCCATACAATAGGAAAACGGTGGGATAAGTAACGTGGAAAAAATAAGTGCACAACAGAAAACGGTGGAAGGCGACAGCAGTGTTGTTATTAACAAAGTACAGCCATCATGTTGAATAGCAAACAACATGCATTAACAGCAATAAAGTGGAGTAGCAGTTTAGCCAACTTATGACTGAAATGGAAAACGAAAACACTATATACAAATCAGTTGTCACAATACAATGCCATTAATAATGAGCCCATCATCAAATTCTGAAGCTCTTTAGGATGGAGTTGAAAGGCGCAATTCAGTGTACACCCCTTTCTACTTGCAATGGTTCCCCTCCCCCTTCTTGTCATCCCAAAAGCTCGGACTGGCTCATAACAATGCTAAGCACTGATGCTCTTCCTTCCCCCGTCCCTGAATGCCCGCAGAGGTTGAGCGGAAATGCGTGTCATTGCCTTCACCCCTAGTGGGTTGTTTTTACCCTGTATCAAACACAAACACCAGCAACTACACTTAGGTAACCCACAACATAAGCACTAAGTAGAATCATACTAGGAATTCTATCCCACAACATCAATATTATAAGAGTAGCTGTCCAATGTGTAGTATTCTTTTGTTAGTATTTTATTATGAAATTACCGCAAATATGAGTAAAACAGGTGTCGGTACACAAATAGGAGTAACTCGGTTTGTGCTAACCATATAACTCAATCAGTACTACAAAAATAATGGAGTGGTTAATAATTCTTATTCAAAAGTGAATGAGTTCCTGCCTAAAAAAGACAAAAGTTAAGTCCAGTTTTATGGAAATGTTTTGTATTATAGTCCTATTTATGCAACTTTTTCCATAAAATGGTTGTTCGACTTTGGCTCACAAGAGGTGCATTGTTAAAATCGACCAATGCTGAAAGCTCTGCGACCATATTTACAATATCAGGACCAAATTGCTTTTTTGAATTCAATATGCTTATATATATATATTACATGACTTCATCTTATAAGTTAAGATGATAGAAGAAATAATTACATTTGACGTGATTGTTTAAAATTTATATTATTTCTACTTATATTACTATGAATGAATGTAATATTACAAAAACATGAGAGTTCTGATAGAGGAAACACATACCGCTGTGCAGGAGCCAGACCTAACATGGCAAACGGGATAGTCATGAGGGCAGCAACTGTTGTGATCCTCACAGCACACAGCACTATTTAAAGGGCAGCATCCCCATGAGAAGCAGTAGTTCCCAAATGGGAAGACACAGCAGCAGGTGGTGCTAGACGGGCATGCATTGTATCGGTCACAAACACTGGGAGCTGCTGGGGATGGAGGGACTGGGGTGGGAGCGGGTGGTGTTGGAGGGCTTGGTGGAGGGTTTTGCCCAGTCTTTGTTGGATAAGAAGGCTCCACAGCTATACCACACAATCCAGCTTCTGCCTTCACATTTCGCTGCATCCTCACATACCCTTTCTCTCCCCAAGCAGCTCCCCATGAATTCTTAACTATCCAATAATCAACACCATTTTCTGTACCGTACCCAACAACAGCCACACCATGATCCAAATCAGTTCCACATGATCCTGTGAATATACCCTGCAAATATTTTTTTCTAAATTATGCATCTTGGCAGTTTAGAACAGTGCAAATGGCCTAATAAATACCAAAACCCAAAACTTACCGATTCATAGAGTTGGAAGTCCATCCCTCCAGCTTCAATAGCAACAGCAATGGGCTGATTTGCTAGTGCCTTCTTCAAAGCCGCCTCATTGTTTACAGGAACATCCTCGTACCCATCAATAGTAACAACCTTGGCATTGTTTTTCTGGCATGAAAATAAAAAAATGATGTCAATAAAGATACTTTCTGAGGATTACTTTTCAAGGAACTAATGGCATGATTGAAATGCATGAATGTCTATTCCGTAGTTAATATGTAGTAGTAAACAGTTTTTCATTGCTACGGAATATTATTTTCTGTGTACCAATCTAACCATACGAATCCTCAATTTATGATCTTATAAATATAGACAGTAATTAGCAATTTAGCAGGACAAAAGCGATGTTACTAACCCTGTAGGAGTCACATTTTCCATCCTTAGCGGTATACGGGTAGTCCTTCTCAGTGTCAATGCCACCGTTCTTGATGATGAACTCAAAAGCATAGTCCATCAGTCCACCATTACAGCCTTCGTTATAGCTTGTGTCACAGTCAACCAGTTCTTGCTCAGACAGTGAGACCAGACTGCCGGAAACAATCTTATTCACTCCCTCAACAGCTGCAATTGTTGAGAAGGCCCAGCAACTCCCTGTTTCATTCTCCAGTTACGCCAGAGGTACATACACTCTTAAAATAATTCTTACAAAAGAGCTATGCGATAGCATCATATTGTGTAGCACATCACATGGCTTTTATATTAGAAGTGATTCCAATAGCCATATCACTTATGTGTGACTGTTTTTGTAAGTTTCTTTGTACTTGTAGAATTTTCCTTCATTCTCAGCTAATTTAAATAAAAAGATTTTTCCATCTCCTCATCAAATTGTTATTATCATCAACTCATTATCATAAAATTAGGGTTTTACGGAGTATATTATATCCTCTTGCCCATCTCTACAAATTGGAAGATTATAAGTTTGGTTTTATATCAAATTACTCGTGTAAGAAAATTAATTCATAATAATACACACTTACACTAATTGCATTAATGATATACTCCCAGTCCATAATTCATTATCCAAATACACTAGGCGTTGTTCACTGGTTAAAATTTACCCAGACAGAAAAGAACGAGTAATAATTTGGGGATAAATGAAAAGAAAACTATGTAGATAAATATAGGAATAGGAGTAATATAATATTATACTCCGTATGAGATTGGTTTGGTCGATGATCTATTTAAATTTGATTTGGTTCAATCTTACGTAGTATATATTACTAAAAAAGATTGATCTTTTTCTATGGTTATTACTATAATTCAAATGCGGAGTCTATTGTTATTATTATTATAAATAATATCTTGAGGATAGACGTGATGTCATATTTCATCAAAATTTGCAGAGTATATAACTTGTTATTTCTCTCCACCACAAACAAAGTAACACGAAAATATAAAAAAGCGGAACAAAACAATTCAAAAATAAACTTTTTTACCCACCCATCTACCCAATCCGGGAACAAACACGTAGTAAAAGCGGATCCGGGAGCAAATACGAGCATATTAGAAAGGGTAAAATAGGCATATGACAAAGAGCAAAGGAGCGTAACCTACCGCAGCTTCCTTGATTTTTGACCTCTGAGACAGCACCTTTCTCCCTCCAGTCAACAGAGTCCGGCAACGATTCGCCTTCCACCGGAGCATACCGGTTGCTCTTGCTCTTCAGAGTCTTCCGGCGAGCATCCCTTTTGGTACCGAGGTACCCGGTGCGATACTCCTCGTTTGTCATATCGGCGAAAAAGTTCAACCCTAGCTTGTAGCTCCGGTTCTCAAGACTGTTCTGGTCGTCGATGTACTTGAGATTATCCTTGAAGATCTCTAACCTCTTGTCTTTTTCTCCGACAGCGTTGTACGCCTTGCCGTGTTTCACAAGCCACGATTCGAACAGCTCCTTGATCTCCTCCTCAGATCGGATCAATCCTTTCGCCGGATGCTGCTCGTCGTATGATATGATCGACATCTCCGCCGCAGCAGAACATACGACGGCGAGCATTAACAGAACGAGAACTAAAGGCTTGCCCATTGTCAGGAAGAAGACACTGTTAGGGGGATGTCGATGGGGGGAAGGAAGAGGGGATAGGAGAGTTGGAGGAAGGGAAAGTGCTTTATAAAGGTAAATATAAGGACACTATAGTCAATGCATCTGGTCTGGTCATATAATTTGGGACATACGGAGTACTTCGTAAAATAAAGAGTAAGAAATTATCGCCATCAATTTAGATGTGAGAAGATTGGGTTCTAAAAAGTAAAAACTAGTGATATACTAATGCAATACTGCAATGCAGATGATGTAAATATATTTGTGTTTTGAATGTAGTTTTAGAATTAAAAAGTGATTGTCTAATAAGAATTTTTCATGAAAAAAGAGCCGAAATACTTTCATAATAAAATGCAATAGATAACTCAACTTTGAATTTAAGGAATTTTTTCCGAAATAATGCGAATTAAAAAAGTAATTACGTAAATAGGGTCGAGGGAAAACACATTTTTAATCCCTGAAATAGTCACCATATTGAAATGTCAGACGCATATTTTCGAGTTTGTAAATGTCACCTCTTAATTATCCAAATTGGTGTAAATGTGGTCCCTTGAGCGGTGAAATGTACAAAGTGGACGAGGAGTACATTTCACCCTCAAAGGACCACATTTACAACAATTTGGACAATTCAAGGGTGACATTTACAATCTCGAAAATACGGGTCTGACATTTCAATATGGTGACTATTTGAGGGATTGAAAGTGTGATTTCCCCTAAGGTCGGGTTAAAAGTATTTACAGATATACTAATGGGTTTAATCCGAGTTAGGGAAAGCTACCAAATGGATTGACGACTTATAAATTGTCGACTTAAAAATTGTCAATCCGTTTGACAACTTTCCAATTACAAGGTTGTCGCCCAGCAGCTTTCTTCGGCAAATGAACGATAACCACCCAATCCCCAAAGTCATAGAAGCTCCGGCGATTCCCCTCGAGCTAACCGGTGACAGGAAACGGCACACGCTAAATCCGGCTTCCAAGAGTCCATCTTCTCCAAGTGCATCTCTTCAAGGTAAATCCAAAGACCAATTTCATCTCTAAAATCCAAGTCAGGGTTTGTTGGTAGATAATTTTTAGGAATTCAAATGTAGGTTTTTTTGTGTTGTTCATGATATTTGCTATTAAATTAATATGTTTTTCTTGCCAAGTGTAATGATAATGAACAAAAATATTGCTTAAATATGATTACATGTAGTTGTATGATTCATTTTGTGAATTTAATGTTTGGGTATATAATGTGTGTGTATATGTGTGAAGTTTTGGTATATAATGTGAATTTATATGTGTGTGCGCGCGCGTGTGTGATTACTTATCAGGTATACGTGTTATGTTAGAATATGAATGTCTCCAACTTCTCCATAGTTTGTCATTGGGGAGGAAAAGTCATTGAGGAAGCAGGTGGAATACATTACGAAGGAGGTAAACGATGGATTATTATTGTTTCTCGTGGCGCATGTATGCAAGACTTGATGCAAAAAAAATATATGTAGCGACATATATTCATCAAAGCAATTCTTTGGAAGTTAAAGTGAAATATCTCTTTCACGGGGATCATACATGCTTATGCCACTTGATGAAGAGGGAGCTGTCACGGGAATGTGGACGCTAGTCTTGAACCTGATTATGTCCACAATGGAGATATACACTGAAGAATCAAGTTTAGACGTTATTATAACTCCCTCAACATCAATCCATGTTGTATATGTGCATGGTGTTCATGCAATTGCTTTTGCAAATGAGGCTGTTTTGAATAGAGGTGAACTCGGGCCGGGCGGCCCGACCCAGAACCGGCCCGGCCCGGGGCCCGGTGGGTCCATCGGTTCGATTTGGCCCGGCCCGGGTGATGGGCGATCCGGGCTCGGGCCCTGCTTTAGGTGAACCGGTCCGGCTGGTTCGGGCCCAATTTTACTTTTTTTTTTTGGTTTTTTTTTGTTTTGTGTTGGATTAGGTATTTTGGGTCATTTGAGGTGGTTTGGGTGGTTTGGGGTTGAGGGGGGGGGGGGGGGGTTAAATAGGAGAATCAAAATAAAAAAAAAAATATGGACCGGTTTGGCCCGGTCCGGCCCGACCCGGTTTGGCCCGGAACCGGAACCGGAACCGGCCACCGGCGGTTCGAGCTCGGCCCCTAGTTTTCTGGCCCGAGGCCCGGCCGGGCCCGGGCCCGAACCGGCCCGAGTCCACCTCTAGTTTTGAACATTGTTGTAGAGGAGGTGATATTGTGAGTGCAACTACCCCGTCTAGTCACTTTACCAGAATATATGATATCATTTTACCATACGCAAGTTCACACCATATGGTGAAATTGAGGTTGGTCAAGTGTTTCATGACAAGCAACAACTGATGAATACGGTGAGCTTGTATTCTATCAAACACAATCAATTTTTCATGTGCTAGAATCAAATAAACATAAATGGGTTGCAAAATGTATGAGAAAAGAGGAATGTGATTGCACTTGGACAATCAATTTTTTCGTGAACTCGAGCTCCCTCCCGTTGAACTGGACGGCAGGCTTCCGCTAAGCTGGAAGGCAGGCTGCCTGTTGGGTTGGAGGCAAGTTCCCCGCTGGGCCAGAAGGCAGACTTCTAGTTGGACCGATAGGGAGGCCGTCTTGGACTTTCGCTCCGCTGGACCTTAGGTCTATTAGACTTCTGCTCCTTGATGGGCTTGATCGGTTGCGGCAGCTCGAGCTCAGGGTTGTTGGGCCCACTTGTCGGGTTGCCCTGACGAGATAGTGGATCTGGGCTTGGGCCCGTTGGTGCATGTCGTGGACTTGGACTCATAGGTCCAAGTTTGGGACGTGGGCTAATTAGGCTTTGGGCCTAGTTCCACAACTCCCCACCACAAACCAATGCCCTACATTTACTACATTTCTTCTTCATCTTTTTTGCTTTTAACCATGCATTTGTAATGTTTCAACCTACATCTCTAATGTACATATTTATTTCTCACAGATATTGGTTTTTTTACAACACTGGATTGATTTTTTGAGACCTCTTGCACATTGTAGGGTCAAACCACTCCATCAAATCACACCCTTGAAATGTCTGCAAAAACACCATTTAACCATACCTTGTTAACTATATAGTACAATCAAGTATCAGTTCGTAAAAAGGGGGAAAACATACACTACAATCAACATGAACAACCATAACTTGACTTTCAATGCATTTCCAAAACCTTCTCCCACAATTCTCTCTTTTTCATGTTGTCAGAAGTTTCAATTATTGGCCACATTCGCAATAGGTGACTGGAATCCAATCTCCATATTCATATTCACCCGCTCAATTTGAGGTTCCATATTTACAGGTAGAAATGTCAGCTTCTTTATGCGGGCCAGCTTGTGGTGAGAGTGAGTAGAAAATGACTAGCGACTGCTCAATTTGAAAGATTTAAGGTTCAATGCATTACTCTTCAAAAAATTAATGACTGCTACACAGTAAGTAGAAAGCCATTCTTTCTATGTCTAGAAAGGGTGTAAACCAATCGTTCAAAAAGAGGTCAATCTTTGGTTGTGTATTTTATAACTTCTCAAAAGGTGAACCAATCGTTAAAAACTTCTCAAGAGGTTAAATCCATGGCCGGTCCTAGGGGGAGGGCAGTAGGGGCAACCGCCCTAGGCCCGAAAAAAAATAGAAAGAAAATTAGGCCCAAATTTTTTTCTTTATATGTAATATGAGTAAGCTTCTTTATTATTTATAATTTCAATTAATTAATTAGGCCTAATGTGTAATTTTTATTGACAGTTTGAGAATTTTAAAATATAAGTAAAAAGTGTTGAACAAAGCCAGACTAGTTTTTAAAAAGAATATAAATTTAGTTTTGATTTTTAAATAGAATTGGTTGTAGGTCAACACATTTGTTGTTGAATCAATAAAAACACGTCTCTTAACATCTTTTTAGCCTTTAAGATTTTTTATTCTTTTAATTACAAAATTACCAATTTATATTATTGTCTTTGGGCTGCCGGTGCCTCTCAATTCTCAAACATAATCCCAATTATCGATTATGTCTAAAAAAACTTAATGGATTAGCAATTTTAAACATTGCACATATGATATTGGAAAAGATTGATTATAAAGCAATTATTTAGGATTTTACTTCATTACGTTTTTTTTTTGTGATAAGTGTATTGTTACTTTTGTCCAAATATGCAATTCAAATAATATGAAGGTGAATTTCATCTTTATTTTATAACCTTTATTATATAGTTGTAGGGATAATTCTTGAAATAGGAGTATTTTTTTTTTTGAGAATTTCAAAATAGAAATGTCATGTGTTTATTTTCTAAATAGGAGTAATTACTGTCATGTTCGAAAAATACTACCATGTGTAAAATATGATACTGCCAAAATATGACATTAATTACTTCTGTTTAGAGAATAAAAACATGATAATCTTAGTTTGGAATATACAAACATTTTTAGTCGTATTTATAGTAATTTCTCCTTGTTTTATTATACTCCATAATTTTTACTTTAAGTAAGTATAATTTACTATTTGTCTCGGAAATAAAGCCAAAATAGTATATCGCCCATAGGTCCAAAATTGGACAGGACCGGCACTGGTTAAATCAAAGTAATTTGACTGCTAGTGAAACAATCCTTTATCAATTTACTATAAGTAGAAAGCCATTCTTTCTATGTCTAGAAAGGGTGTAAACCAATCGTTCAAAAAGAGGTCAATCTTTGGTTGTGTATTTTATAACTTCTCAAAAGGTTTAATATCAAACTACAAAAGAGAGAAAAACATCATAAATCAAAAAGTTTTAAAAGCCTATTCACCTCCTTCTCTAGACTTTTACATCATCAGTGAACATCAATTAGTTTATCATTTAAGCACTAAAAAATCACAATAAAACAAATAAAAAGTAAAAACAAATACTTATAATTTTACAAATACTCCCTCCATCCCGTAATTAAGTTCATACTTTCCTTTTTGGGATGGTCCATATTCGTACTTCAAACCTTTCCTTATTTGGCAAATGATTTACACCAAAACAGTGCCAAATAGTGTCAAACAGTGCCAAATAGTGTTCAAACAGTGCCAAAAAGTGTTCAAACAGTGCACTCCACAGTAAAGTCAAATTTATTTCTTAATATGTGTGAAGTCAAACTAGGAACTTAATTAAGAACTGGAGATAGTATTAAAACCAAAAAGTAATAAAATGGGGTTGTGCTTGTTAGGAATCCGGAAGAATTATTGAACCTTAAAAAGCAATATACGATTCATTAAAAAAATTACTACATCCGTCCCAAAAAGAACTTCCCACTTTCTTTAAATGGATGTACCAAAATTAACTTCACACTTCAATACTTTCCTTATTTGGCAAATTATCTATATCTAAAAAGTGATAAACAGTGTCAAACAGTGTTTGAACAGTGCTAAACAGTGTTTAAACAGTGTCAAACAGTGTTTAATCAGTGCTAAATAGT